TTTAAATGAATCACTAATTAATATAGAAAATCAAAATTTTAATGATGAACTTGATACCATAAGCAACAATTTACCACCCACATCAGGTATTTTATAATGACCTTATTTAAATGAATCACCAATTAATATAGAAAATCAGAATTTTAATGATGAACTTGATACCATAAGCAACAATTTACCACTCACCTCAGGTATTTTATGAACTTATATTACCTTATTTAAATGTATTCATTTAAATTTTAGAAATACCTAGATACTCTATAAAAAATTATGATAAAAATAAGCTAAATACACTTGATCACTTCAAATCTCTACCTAGTAAAAGTAATGTTAACTATTACCTTTAAATATTTATATCATAATTTTAGGTATATCAAGTATCACATTGAAGAAGAATGATAGTAGTCAACAAAATATTATAGGCTGTATCAATTTAGAATTTAAAGGTTATCTAATATGTTGTTTTATTTTAATTTATTTTTATAGGAATATCTCAATTAATATTCACACCAAGGGGTAAAAAAAATAGTGATAACAAACAAAAAAATACACTAAGTCACAACAAATCACTATCTAATAAATGTAATGTAATCAATTACTTATTAATATTTACATTAAAATTTTAGATATATAAAAAATCTAGGGAGAATTTAAATGGAAATAAAGTTCCACTCATGTCAGGTATTAGTCTTATTTAAATTATATTTATTTAAAATCTTAGCAATTCCCACATACTCCAGAAAACTAAAGGATAATAGACAACCAATTATACTAGATCATTTAGAACCATCACCTACTACAAGTGATATAGTCTATTACTTTATACTAATAATCAAAAGTTGGTTCCAAAGCTAACATGTCATCTATGATTATTAGCCTAGGTTTCTCAATATTAATTTTAAACATCTATCATATATTGGTAAAAAAATATTGCCAACACAATTTTGATTTTTTCACTTTGAAGGATATCGACTTAAATTTACAGTTTAAAAAAAACATTTATTTTTTAATCTATAGTTTTAATGTGTTTACTAATTATAAAATATATCATTTATAATTAAGGCAATATAATATTTATAATTAACGCAATTTATATGTGTAATACTAATATTTATAATTAAGGCAATATAATATTTATAATTAAAGCAATATAATATTTATAATTAAAGCAATATAATATTTATAATTAAAGCAATATAATATTTATAATTAAATCAATATAATATTTATATTTTAAATAATCGCTTTTTATTTGTAAATAACTTCTAAAAGTATAATAAAATGAAACGTATATCAATAAAATTGTGTCAATGTGTTATTTTAATTAAAATTAGTGGCTCAATTTTAGCCGATATGGCTAACTCAATATATTAGCCAGAAAATTTTGCTCATGGAGATACAAGTTTTATATTATTCGAGAAATCTCTAGGCTTGAACAATATTTTTTGGCAAAAATATTGAGTTAGCTGTTTATAAAAATCAGCTCAAGTCGAGCCGTTTAACAACACTAATTAAAATAATTAATAATTCTAGGACTTTTATATTATAAGAAAAACCAATATGATTTTTAAGATAGGCGAAGCCCCCCAGGCTTTTATATATGGACCCCCTCTAAGGAAAATTCCTAGCTACGCCACTGGGTATCATATAAGTTAAAATATTTAGATGTAATCTGCAGGGAGTTCAGCTAGAAAAGATGCATCAATATCATAATAGGGAAAACCGGAGTAAAGCGATTGATAGGGTAACAAACGCGAATAAATTTTTAACAGTACCATAAATAGTTTAAATTTAGTGTGAAGATGTATTTTTATATCTAATTTCTTACGTATGTTTATTTTTTGATGAACCTTCCTGGTTTGACATATTTTGCTATAAAACCGTTTTTTACCCAAAAATTTTATTCTAGTTTATTTTGCTTTTAGCAAAATACATTAAGACTAATAATTTAAGGATTTTTTCATATATGTTTCTTAAATAAAATTTTTATGGCAATACTAGATGTCACGCAATAACAATTTGTATAATAAATATCACTCAGGGGTAAAGTTGTTATGAGTAAAACGGTTAAAATATTCCATCTGATTAAAGTTGGGAAAAAATAATTTTTAAATATTAACGTCCACCAAACCATATAAAGTTATTTTTGAGCACAAGGGAACATTAATGAATAGTTTATGTGTTATTTGGAATGCTAAAAATAATCGCAAAGGGAAAGAATAATTAAAAAATACAAACAATATCCCTAAAATGGGCACACTTTAAATATGCTTATTTTGAAAAAATATTTTACATTCCCATATTGAATTGATTAGTTTATACCTATAGTGATGAATGGATGTCAAAATTGCAATATTTTGTTCAATAAAATAATAGTTATGTACATTCACTTTTATTTTAAGCACTTTACACTGATTACCCTAAATGGGCAAAATGGCTAAAATGGCATACTATATATATTTAATCATAAATCTTATAATATTATAGTTAAAAGGCTATACTTTTTTTATTTTATAGGAGGATTTTATTTATAATTATTTTTTTCAAAATTTTATTGCAAAAATGCAAAATAAAAATACCAATAGTTTTACCCAGGTTTCTCCCATAAAAAACATCTTGGTAAATATTTTTTATTTTTTTTCTAAAATCTAAAAAAAATAAACATTAAATAAATAAATGTATCCTAAATTTATAAAAACAGTTTTATTGATGGCTGAGGCTAACTAAATAAAATTATTTTTTTTATTCATTTTTCTATAACATTAAGTCCTTATTTTTTTCAAAATATAAGCAAGTATAAATAAAAATATAAATAAAAGGAAAAACAGGAAAGTTAAAGATATGAAAACTTTTAATTTTATTTTTATATAATGCTTCCAAGCTTAAATATCAAAGATATTCCAAAGGAGATCGATTCTTCTGAAAATTTAGCGAATTGCAGCATGTGTGACAAAAAGATGAAGTATACAAAATTTAATATATTTTTCTAGCATAGGCGTAGCCAGGATTTTTTAAGGGGGGGGGGAATTAAAAACCCCTTTTTTGCCCGGCCTTAGGCCGGGTTACCTTAGTCTATATATAGTCATAAAATATTTTTACAAATTATAATAAAAAAAAAATAAGCCTGGAACAAATATGAAATATATTTTTATTAGTTTATATAAAATATAATAAATTACTTGTATATACATTAATACAAAAGCATGGTAATAATTTATTCCAAACAATTATAAGAAATTTATTTATAAAAAGTAAGTAGACATATAGTTGATATTCCTCTATTATATAGAATTACTTATAAAATACTAGGTAAAATTACACTTTTACAGACATATTTGACAGTTAGAGAATATATTACAGTTACTAATTTAACAAATTTTACTAATCAATGATCTTGATAATAAATATAGCTACAATTTGCATTCAATTATTTAATGCTATCTATTTATTTTAAGTAAAATGATATTAAAATTAATATTCATATTATTCATCCCACAATGTCTTTAGAAGATAATATGTCCTTATCAATATTTTATAGTTTTCTGTAAAATATATAATTCGCTCTGTTGGTAAAAATTACTTAATTGCCATATGATAATTGATAAAATTAGATATATTTTAAATCTAAGATATATAATATTCCACTGTTTGTATTGTGTTTTAATATTTTTATTTAATTCATGATTTAATTTTATCAATAGTTTTATAATTATATTTTACTTTTATTAAGATAAATAAATTAAAATTACTCACTTTATAAAAAATTATATTTGATATATTATTTTATTTAGTAATTTTATGGATCTATTATTAATAATTATAATACTTTTCACCTTTGTCTTAAGACTTATCTTTGGCTTATATTCCATTTATTAAAAAACATTTTTGGTTCATTTTATATATATATAAATTAATTTATCCAAAAATGTATAAATTATGATGAATAGTTTTATAAAAAAATATCAACTTTTACATTCTTTCTTTCATTTTATTGTTTAAGATATATGCATATATTTTTAAGGATCAGGGAGTGGGGGGATGACTTAGGGGGAAATTTTTATTAGCTAAAAATGATATTAACAAAAAGTGATAAATTTTTGAAGAAAGGGATTTCCCCTTGCCCCCCCCCTCACCTGGCTACGCCTATGTTCTAGTAAATCTTGAAGGGCATATAACCTCTCAGCATTCAAACATAATGAAAGTAGATCTAATAGTGATTCGTCCTTCAATGATAGGAATACAACAGCAAAAGAAAAGTTCCAAAAAATGAAGAATGATAAATCAAAAGTAGTTAAAAATATTTAAATGGCACAATAAAGAAAAAATAATTATTTTTTAGATTTTAGAATGTCTTGTAAAGCTGATTACAGTTAATAATACTAATTAATATAGTTAATTATGGGGGTTACCATATTTTACTAGATCCTTTATGTCATTCTCTACATATGAAAATAAATTATAGACTAAAAGATAATTGAAATTAGTAGTCTATATTTTAACCTCTATACCTTTAGAAATTACCAAATAAGAACAATATTCATATTTTATGTGTGAAATTGCAAATTACTAATATAATGGTCAAAATAAAGTGACTCAGGATTCAGAAAGAAATTATATAATTTCTTATTTTTTATTAATTGGCAGATCTCTTTTCTTTAATCGACATTTATCAGAATAGAATCAACGGTGAGCATCATAATCATATCAATTATAATGTTAAAAGGATTATAATTTAAGTCAAATCTACCCCCCCCCCCAATCCCCCACCCCACCTCCTGTTATGTAGACACTGGTAACAGTTATAAATATATAAGTTTAAAAATGAATTTGGCTTATACTAAGTATCCACCATATGAATATGAAATTGAGTTGGCGGAGAAATATACAATATTATTTTAATTTACTAGGATATTCTTGTTTAAAACTCTTAATAATTAACAGTAAATCAAAATAAAATAGATCAAATTCAAAATTTGCGAATATATTTATGTTTCGCAATTTTATATTAAAACGTAAAGTGTAACAACAACACTGAATATTTGGAATGATTTTATCTGATGTAAATTTTCTTATGAGTATTGGACTTAGTATAGAAAAGGCCAACCAGACAATAAAAAATGAAGCGCTAACAAGGCTTTTAAAATCAAGCATTGAAAAGGTATAATTTTAATCTATTAGCAGTCAAACAGTTTATAATTAAGGTTAAAGAATATGGTGAGGTAGATAAACCCACTGGCATTTTTATATACAATTTGGTTACTAAGATAAAACCTCAAATTAAAAACCACCTTTCTTTATTGCTTGATTATATAGGATCAAAAAGAATTACCAATGATGTTCAATTAAATGGTAACATTTTTATATCTCTTTATATCTAAAATTATTTATATAAGCTGCTCTTGAATATCTCCTTACTAGCTCAGCTTCTAATGTAGACATTAACATGTTAGAGAAAAATTCAGGCATAGGGGTTACAGTTAGTCCAGAAGAAATTGAGCTAGAAGTATATATGCTATTAAAACAGATAGAATGTTTAATATAGGTTGAAAAAGCTTTAGATAAATATAAAAAAGATCTTCAGCAAAAAAGATATAAATTCAATACTGGAATCATAATAGGTAATATTTAATATTTGTTTATCTTTAATTAAAGTTAAAATTCTCTACATCATTTTGTTTTCATAAAATTTCTAAATAATTAATGAGATATTTGTTAAATTAATAGTAAGCATTAATTGAAGATAATTAAAACAATAATATTTTGAAATCAATCATATTTATTATGACATTATCTTTTCCAATATTTTATTTAGTTTTTATAAATTTTTAGGTGAAGTAAGAAAACATCTTAAATGGGCTGAAGGCAAAAATGTCAAGAGTGAAATAGATATCCAAGTTTTTATACTTTTTTAATCTCTATAAATAAGGATCTATGAAAAATAATTTAAAAAAAAATATCACTCAAAAAATTTTTTGGTTTTTTTTTCTGGATAATTATTTCCCACTTGCCATAAATAAGATAGATATTGTAATATAATATGTATATAAAAAAAATAATTACTTAAATATCATATATTTGTGTAATTCCATTTTAAACAGGGCTGTTAACCCTCGTTCTAAAAAATGGGTTTGTATTCAGTGAAACCCTTGAACCAGTTGGGCTCATTAAGAGTCAAGAAAAATAATGACTTATGAAATAAAAATAACAAACATACATTTTAAAAATAGTATGCGAGATTTTTGGATGACCATCTTTAAAATAAACAAAACTTTAAATCTTTTTTTTAAAAATAATACTTAAGATAGAGTTAAAAATTATATATCATTTTATAGCCCTTAAAATTGTACAATAAAAAATATTAAATTAAGTGTTTTATTATTTCCAGTAAAAATGAAATATTAAGATTGTTGCAAAGTGATTTTTTATTGAGTTTTGAATTTGCTAGAAATGTTTATTACCTTCATAATTAACGTTTAATCAAAAAAATCAAAAGCCTATTATTTTTATAAATTATGATATGTATTGAATTGTTTATGTTGTTATTTTTGTATTTTTTGTAAAATGTTTATTTTCATTATTATATTATTATATGAGATTGAATAAGAAAAATCAATTGCAAGAATTATTTCTGGCATTAAATTTCGATTATTACTAACATTACATTTCAAGAATGGTCCAGTAAATAAAAGTCTAACAGATTCAAATGTGTTACAAAGATTGGTACAACTTATTTAAAGAATTTAAAAACACATAACCAAGTTTAACAACATCACAAGAAAAATCACTGTTATTAAAAATAATAGGATGTGATTACAAAATACTGGTAAATTTATATGCATCTGATAGTCCGGGAAACAAAGAGGTATTAGAAATACATAATATTTTAATCAAACATTACTATCCCATACCTAATATAATAGTAGAGAGATATAATTTTTATCAATATAATCAAAAAAATGAGGAAAAAATAATTGACTTTATACAAAATCTTCGAAAATTAGCAACGACTTGTGAATTTGGGAAATATTTAAATACTGCATTAAGAAATAAATTTATATTCATAATAAAAAATCCTAAAATTTTACAAAGACTAATATTTGAGGATGATATAGACATAAATAAAGCTATTCAAATAGCTACTGCAGTTAAAACAGCTTAAAAAATACAAAATTATACAAAATGATGAAACACACAGTTAGAAGAGGAACATAATAATATAAATAAAATTAAAAAAGTTAATAATAATAATGATAAAAAATCAAAATCATATAATAATTATAATGCGAGCTACAAAAAACCAAATCCCTGCCACTCATGTGGCGGAAACCATAAAAGGGAAAATTCTTTTCAAGAATGCCACTTGTTATAAATGCAACAAAATTGGGCACATTGCTCGAATTTGTAAAAAAGAAATAGTACAATGAATATTATCCAGAATTTTGAGTGGATATCAAAATTAACAATAGCTATATCAGAATGGAATTGGATGGAATAGATTGGAAAAATAAACTTAATCATCCCTTAACAAATTGCATGCTAAAACTTAAAAGCTATACAGGAACCAATATACCACTATTAGGTCAAACTCTAGTAAAAGTACAATATAAAGGACGAGTATTAGAACCACCTCTCATAATTACAAAAGGATATACAAAAAATTTAATTGGAAGAAATTGGATAATTAAATTTCCAAAAATGACTGAAATAATTCAAACATAATATACAAAATGAATTTCCTCAATTATTTACCAAAGAATTGGGCTGTTTGAAATATTTTAAGGCACAAATATATATGAAAAACGAAAAAACAAATTTCTGTAAATCATGTTCCATACCATACTCATTAAAAAAAAGTTGGAAGAAGATTTAGACAGATTGCTAACATCACTCACAATAATTGTTCAAGAGAAAGATAAAACATTACGAATTTGAGAGATTTTAAAAGAACCATAAATCAAAATATTAATATTGATTCATATCTAACACCATGAATCCAAGATTTATTAGCCAGTTTGTGAGGCCAGGAATTTTCAATATAGGATCTCTTAGATGCCTATTTTCAAATTAAAGTAGGGGAAGAGTATCAAAAATATCTTGTAATCAATGTGCATAGAGGATTATTTAAATATATAAGTCTACCTTTTGGTTTATTGTCTTCTCCAGCAATATTTCAATGAGCCATCAAGAATTTATTAAAAGGAAGGAGTTGTTATTTAGATGATATTATAATAACCAGAATAGTGAGAAGCACAAAACAAATTTAAAAAATGTACTAAAATGTCTAGACCAAAATGGAATCAAGCTAAAGATAGAAAATTTTTCAAACAACATGTTGAGTACTAGGGCATAATATTTCAAAAAACGGGATTACAACTATAGAAAAAAATACTGAGGCAGTAAAAAAAGCACCAGAACCAACAAACTTGAAACAATTATAGTCATATCTAGGGTCAGCAACATACTATTCAAAATTTATTTCAAATTTTGCAGACAAAGCCAAACTACTATACAAATTATTAGAAAAAGCAGTAGTTTGGAGATGGACAAATGAATGCAAAGATGCAAATAAAAAAATATAGCAAGAAAAAATAGTACTCCAATATTACTACATTATGATCCGAAATTACCCATTATAATAGCAACAGATGCTTCAATAGGAATTGGGACAGTAATATCACATAGAATGGGATAAGGAGAGACAGACCAATTGCATTCACTTCAAGAATGCTACAGAGAAAAATTATAGCCAAATAAAAAGATAAGCTCTTACCATCATATTTGGTACAAAATTCAAGAATTTATATATGGAAAAAAGTCACACAAACAGACCACAAGCCATTAATGAGTTTATTTCATCTAAGAAGAGATTTACCAACAACAGCTACTGCCAGAATACAAAGATGGGCTTTATTATAGCAGGTTGTCAATATAAAATAGAATTCAAAAGGAGTTGACAACTAGCCAATGCTGACATGCTATCTCAATTACATATACAGGTAACCACAATATCAAATGAGAAACACTAGATTAAATACAGGTAGGAGAAGAAACCCCTTTAAATGCAAGGGAATTGAAAGAAAAACAATGCAAGATGATGCACTCTTTAAAGTATACGGTATACAATAGATGGATGGCCAATAAACTATGATATATGTTTAAAGGAGTATAGGCAAAGGAGAGAGGAAATTACAACAGAGAAGGTTTGTTTATTATGGAGAACTAAAATGATAATACCACAACAACCGAAACAACGTGTTGGACATGATATATCAAGGACATATTGGAATGGTACAAATGAAGATAGTTTCATTCATTCTTGAGATGGTCATCTGAAACATTGGTCATCTGTAATGGAATGGCCCAATAAAATAAATATTTATTTTTTATAAAAAATTCAACATAAAATTGATAAATTTAGATATATTAAAAAAGATTTCTAAAGCCCGATTCGACCTGGCCCAAATTTTCTTAAAAAATATTAGGCCCGAACCTGGGGTACAGGCCTGGCCTACTTTTGCAGTTCTCTAGTTTGAATCAGACCTAATGTTAATCTTGTAAGTGGTCAATCCGATTCGATATTAAAATGATATTAGCCTAATACCTATCCAATATTATATCTGATTTTGTATTCTGTAAATATACTAACCGTTTTATTTTTTAATTCATACATCTCATCTCATATACTTTTTCTATAATCTAAGTACACCATAACATTAGTCATTTAAAATGTTATAATGATCATTTAAAGTTTATATTCATGAATCTTAAAGTGTATGAAATATTTTTTATTGATAAATCACTTTTTTTATATAAGAACATTAATCTAATCACTTAATAGAAATAGAAAAATATATTATGAAATATTAAGTTAATTAAAAAGAAATACTAAAATTTATAGTTTATTAGAGGCAGGTCTTGGTCGATGGAGACTCAATATCACTAGCTTCAATAAAAGATTCTGATGAGGTACCTGTGGCAGGTGTTGCTAGATATTGACGAGCAAGTTTAGAGAGAGTTTAATATTTATGGAAGTTCACTGCTTAATATTTTAATGGATCAAATTATTTTTATAATTAAGAAGCCATTTAATGGATCTCGATAACCTATTATTAATGAAATGCTTCCTACTTTTAAAGAGTTAAAACGTGACTTTTCTTTTGTAATAATTATGGGGGGGGTTATGGGGGCGCCATGGTAATTGTTATAGCATACTAATCCAAGTTAATATGTTATATTTAATATAACAAGATTTTTAAGACAATATTAAAAATATTTTTTATTGATTTACTAATAACAATTATGATGTAATATTTCCCATGTTTATAATTATTATATTTTATGGATGATTTTAAAAGAGACAGATTTTCCATCGGTACTGTGGAGATAGGCTGAAAACTCTTTGCATGAATAGTTATAATTTTGTTTAACCATAAGTTCAGCTTCCAATGATGATAATAATCTATTATGTACTTTTCGCCAAGCAGTAGTCATTAGACTGAATATTCTCTCTGATGACACATTTGAATGCGGTAAGAAAATATATAATTGCATATTTTCTCTATCAAAGGTTAGAAAGGAAATCCATCCATTTTTCTTGTCCATTCATATGATTGTTTTTCTCATAATTTATGTTCATAATAGGAATCTATATATATAATCACCGTAATCAAGAAATGAACGTTTTCGTATAATCTTAATGTTAATTTTTATTTTTCTTATCATCTTAATGTTAATTTTTATTTTTACTATCAACTTTCCTATCTTCTTAATGTTAAATAAATCTATGGAGACTATATATCTCTAATGTTAAATTTTAAGAAATTTTTTTGTACATCATTGGATTCGAATCTATGACTTAACGTTTTAAAGACAAACGTTCTTCCCACTCAACCAC